TAATAATAATAATAATAATAATAATAATAATAATAATAATAATAATAATAATAATAATAATAATGTAGGTCCGTTATACGTGCATACATGAAGTGCTTTCCGGCTTGGACGAGAGGCTTGATCGGCACGTAGTTCACGATAATTGCATGTAGAATGCATGGGAGTTGCAGGGCACTCTTAATTGACAGCGAACTCTCGCCAAGGCTCGAAACTGTGTGAATAATCTGTCAGTTGTAGATATCTTCAGGCTTTCTTTCTTTCTGGAGATTCCTTTGCTCCTTAGTGCGAGGCGAGGGCGATGGAGCTTTGTTTGTTGTTCTGTCGCAAACTTTGCCCCTGTCATCGTCTTCACCCACGAAATGACCCTGCGTGAATATTACTTTTTCATAAAATTAAAAGAAAACAACAATGCGTGCTTCGTTGCACATCAATATTTGGGCGCACTTATAGGCTATTTATTCTTAAACATGTCCCTCCTTTATTTTCATGTAAATTATTAACTCTTCGATCGATCAGCAATTATACAACGTTATATTTCTGCATGCGCCCTTTGCCAGTAACTCACTCACCAACCTGGTAAAATCTATCATTTCAGTCGGAAACAATGACGTCTCGAGAAAAGTTCTATTTTTGAGAACATTCTAAATTTCCTGATGCCGAAAAATGTCACCCCGGCCAAAGTAGACTTTTTTGGGACAAGTGCGTGGGAAGTCACGATCAAAATAATACTTTGGGTCAAGGATCATAATTATAAGCGTTCCAGATCATGGAGATCTATTCAATTCTTTTAAGAATTAGCAAAGTAGACGCTAAGCCATCTCGTTACGCTGCCTTTTTAGCCTTAGTTGGCTGATGGATTTATTGCCGGGTCTTTAGACAGGGTCGTGAATTGTTTATATTCCATTTAACGATGTTTATTCAAGTTCCACCTTACTATTATGAGTCATACTAAGCTACTCTGCAGACCATTTTTGCCATACTTGATCTAAATCGAAAAAATAATACCAAGTGTATTGTAATACTGGGACAGAAGGGAACCAGACAAATTAAGCTGGATTACAGTCTTTCTCCTGGTAATAGCCAAACTACTTTTTTTCATCATCTTTGCAATAGGCATTATTATTCTTTCAAGTACAGTATGGTGAGCGTTTCTAATTGTGAGAACCGAAATATTAGTTGGTCGAAGCTGTGCTCACCTGGTGCTTTCAGCCGTTCATCATGTATCATGGGACAACGCCGAATTCTCCGATGTCCTCACTGAGGAGTTCGATGGAGGGAAGACAGTCTGGCTTGTCAGTGATCATTCAGTGTTCTTTGCCTTGGTCTGTTTGTTCATGTCACATAGATCATGATCTTGACTCAAATCAAATTGATTACCACACGGGACCCGTTATTGAGATTCTAGTAACCGGGATGCATGGTATTAAAGAAAAATTAAAGAAGCCTCAAAGCTCGCGTGATTGACTGCTAAATAGAAAAATAACTACCCTAGGTATAATCCAGAACACTAATGATAGGCATTCGTTGTAGTTCTACTGTGAATTGTCCTCAAAAACTAATCAAGAGATGATACTACCGACAAACGTTCCATGTAGAGGTTTTTATGAACCTTCCTTTTAAGCACTATCAAAGAAATACATGTTGTCGGTACACCTTAGTTTGTCCTTCAAATTCTGATGAACGAAAAGATTTGATAATTTTCTAAATCCTCATTACCGTTTAAATGTTAAAATAATTCAAAATGGCCAGTCATGATTATTGATATTCTGATCATCTCGAGAAATTTTCAAAAGGAAAATTAATAGTAGAAAATATATCATAATTAGTGAGGAAATGCTTAGATGGTTAAATATAAATGTGATGTTACGGTAAGTCCCTCCGAAGAAGCCCCATACAAACTTATTAACTATGTATAGCAACAAATATTTTAATTGAGACCTTAATTAATAGAAAGAAAAATAACCGCATACACTGGCCACCAGAGAAACTGCGCGTAGCAATTTTCAACCCACTACAGCCTATTCAGAAACTAGCTCGTTGGGCTGTGACGAGTCTTTTTGACCACGGTCAAATGGCAATTGTTGATTTGAGTTACGACCCAAAACAGGGTATAGAGGTCCACTCACGTTAACGTAAATGCGACTAATTAAATTTAACCGCTCTGTTTATCCTTGTGCCTCAAGTTTATGAAAAAAAGACACAAATTCAAGTTCAACTGAATAATCACACACTAGAGTTTACGCCACAAGGTTTGAACACACTTGTTCTTTTATTAAAGTATGCTGTGCAGTTCAAAATACAATACATCATTTGATAGGATAAACATTCCTTTACCGTCCAAATCATAGAACAATTAACGACGAACAGCACCAGATGAAAATACTATTCGGCAACTTTCTTTTGAATGACTTCACACACAACGTTTCATGGTCATACTGTCACGGTTTTGAAAAGCTAAGTGCTAACAAAATTTGGGCTGGATCATTGCAGAATCCAGTCTGACCTTGTATGAAAATTAAGCCGAGCAAACATACCGAGACGGATGAGGTGATCTTCATTCAACGAACTGTTTTCCCGAGGAGTATATTATAATAGCAATTTTAAAGAGTCAAGCTACTGAATTCACTCGGTACTAAACAAGTTGATCACCTGATTTATCGAAATAATGTTTCCCCATCTAACAGGTGCAAACGCTTGTAACTTGAGCAAGATCAGTGTCATGATTATTATAATTTCTAGCCTCTGAAATTTCACTGCTTTTGTCTTGACTTGCAAGAAGAAACTTTTCGTAAACTTAAACACACACCCACTGCGAAAATACGGGCAAAATTTGTGGAAGTGTTTGTTTGGAAGAAGGGGATTGTCATCTAGAGATATTAATGGAGCAATAATCGAGGTGGATCGCTATAAGGCAAGGTGGTGGTGGTTGCTGTCTGTCGACTCCCGTATGTCAGGAACATCACGGCCTAAGACCATGTTCAGATTAATTGCGGTAACAAAGTGTAGTTTAATTTCGCTAACTGTGCAAAAATTGATGATTAAAGAAATTAAAGCTTAACTTGCTTAAATTGCTGTGACGTGTCGTTCAGCATGGTTTGCAATGGAAATACTGAGCAGACCTAAAGCGCAAGAAATTTCACTTTTAACCACAAAAGAAGCTAAGCCCAATTAATTCGAGTGCATGCTTGTATCCGTAAAATGTTTTAAAAATTAGACACTCCAATCGAGTGGTTGACTAATTGACCAATTAGTCACCTCTCAGACTTATACACCACGTTGAAAAATCGCTAATTCAGAAGGACAGGCGCAAGTGTAGGTTCTCGCACGAAGCCAAGAGTTTGGCGATTTACATGTTTGTACCCATTTGATATGTCTTGTTACGTAATCACTCCGTCTGTTCGTCTGTCTGTCTTGCGTTAATTCTAAGAAGGCTTATGGCCATGGGTGATTGACCCGCCGTTAGAAGTCTAAGACACATGAGCTGATTAAATCTCCTTTCCGGTCCTTTTTTGTTCTTTCTGATCGTAGCTGATCTCGAACAAGTGCACACTGTGATCTAGATCAGTCTGTTGTCTCCAATTAGTGAAGTACAACGGGTTCGTGTAATCCCCTTTGTGGGACCGAATGTTCTCAGCTTTACTTTTCTCCCATGATAATTAAATCGGTCTTGGAGGCAACAGATGCAAGCACTCTGTCAAGGAGTGTTCCATTTAGATTTCATCTTCCGTTGTTGACAAATCAGTCTTCAAGGATTTTCGCGTTCAAAGATGATCAATATTTACATTGCCTCAACACGTGCAAAATCCATTAAGAAGGATTTCTAAATATTTTTAGCTTTTGCTAAGCCAGGAATAAAATTCAGGACTCTTTAATGTTATCACGGAACCGTAGTTGTATTGGCCGTATAGTTAATCGCACAAAAGCATGTCTTTGTTGGTCTATTGTTGTGTACCTCAGTACGGCGACTAGAGTAGCTTTCACAACAGTGATAGCGAGTGAAAAGATTAACAACCACAATGCCAATCAATCTATCCATATTCGCTAGTAATACCCGGTAGGGATTGTAATTCGACTTCAACAGTAAAGAAACATAACGATTGAAACGCTTTCTGAACGGAAGTAATACTTCACTAAGCTCATCCGAGCAGCGTGTAATTCCACTTTGTTCTTCTCTTTTTTACGACCAAATCAAGGGACTGGCCATGTAAGTTAACTTCGAAAAGAGGCCCACAGTACAGGCCTTGACTTATAACAGCGCTGATTACACACAAAATCCCCCTGGAAATAATTTGAGCAAAAAGTATGACAAGCATTCTAATCCAAAAAGTTGGCCTGTTTACTTGGGGTAACCATACATTCTTTTCGCAAAAACAAAAATTGTGTCGGAAGAGCTTTTGCCGCAAGACGGTACTATTTATATTTTGTCACTGTCAAACTCAATTCTTCTTTAACAACTAACACCCGAAATCAACAGACAAAGTCTGACCTTGATTAATGCTTTTTTATTTGCCAATTTCCCTGCCGACCTTAATGCACAAACAACTGAGCCTAAAAGTCAATAAAGTTTCTCAATTTTGAATAAACACAAGCGTAATTATCCCAGTCATTTCTGAATCTTCTTGACGTCTTGGAGAACAAAAGATAAAAAGGTTGTTAAAGTATTCTTTTCCAGTCGCCTTTCGAGACAATACGAACAAAAACGAATTCACTCAATATGTTATTACTTGCACAAAACAGATAAAGCTAGATAACCAGACTCTTTTCACCCTGTTTCACCTTTGATGGCCGAGCTATTTAAACAGTTCAGCTGATAAAAGAACCTTGGCACAAAAGCTGCTCAACGATGAATTACTTGAATACACAAGCTTTTCACTGTTTATTCTCTGCGAAACTGAACCAAAAACAAAGGGTTGATTGGTGGAACTATACCAATGACTTGTTTCATAAGAAAGATCTATCCGTAGTTTGTTTTCCTTTCGTCCGTCTTTAATTTCGGCGCCGAGCTTTGTGTAAACAAGCTTAAAAGTGACCTTCTCTAGTAAAGTTCAACGCTATTTATTGCAGTTGACATATCGCAAATATTTAGTGATTCCTTTACAGGCACGTGAGCCATTAAAGGTTGACCTTTCTGCTTGAAGCCAACTGCGCTCAAGCGTAGAATCAACCCAAGCAGGAGCTAAACGATTCCCCCGGCGGGTTTTCACAGCAGAGGTTGATTAAATGCACATTGAAAGTCTTTTAGTTCGTGTAAATCCTTTTTACTGTGCAAATAAGTCTCATTACCAAACCAGATGCTAATTTAACCACGCCAGGAATGTTTAGTGCGGCTTTTACAAGACAAAAGCATATCACAAGACTAAGCTATACAAATAAATCCGTGAGGCATGAGCAACGAAAAAAGAAGATTAAAAATTGACTTGTGGTCTGTTGGATACTTCATTAAAATCGTCTGATCCATCCTTTAAAATTCCAAGACGTATGTATTGGCCATGTGGGCTAAAGTTTATTTTTAGATCTACCAATACGATGAGAGATAGGGTTTTAAGTTGTGAACAATTAACACACAGCATTCTTTTGATTACAACATGGTGCAATCAATGTTCCACTTTCGGCCATCACAAACCATTTACAATCTTCTTGATTTCGGCTCCAGCTTTGATAAGGAATGATGCGCAGTCGAAATGCCCCCCACGCACCGCGAAATCCAGCGCGGAGCACCCTTGCGAGTCCAGTAGCTCCACTTCAGCCCCGCAATCGAGCAGAAGTTGAAGGCATTCGAAACTTCCTTCAGCGGCTGCGTAATGCAACGCTGTGAGTCCAGACGGACTCTGGTGGTTCACATCGATTTCCTCTTTATGCATGAGTCTCGTTAACTCTGCCACATCGTTGTCGGCCACCGCAGTGAAGAATACAACTTCAGGAGCGAACGAGACGCTTCTGGTTCTCTTGACACCTGCTGGGGGATCCGAGAACGCTTCCTTGCTGCGCGTTGGCCTTTTCGAGTGCATCCTTGCCATTTCTTGACAATCTGGTAGAGACACAGTTCTCCTCAAGACACCCAGGTCTTTTTCGCTTGGTGGCCAGTTTATTTTATGCGTAATACTGGCCTTGGAGTATTTCCTTGCCTTGACGCGGCCGTATCTTTCATCCTTCAGCCTCTCTACAGAAGGCGCAAAACCACAAAAAGATTGTCGACGATAGCCGTTCATCGCGGAAGAGCTCTGGAAGCCCTCGTGAGCAAACACGTCAATTGTAAACCACCTGAGGCGTTCGTGTAAGGCTATTTCGCTTCCACTTGATCGTAGAGTTTCTTGATGACAGAAATCCTTGAGAAGGAGCTCTGAGCTATAGCAAAGTTGATTCCAGGCCAAAAATGCGGCTTGAGTTATCTCATCGTCTGATAATCGTCTGGTGGACAATATCAAAGAACACATCAACTTGCCTTTTCCTCATGCGCTCCGTCTAGTTGACATCATTTGTCAACCGCAGTATTTTAGGCTGCATTAGTGGTGCGTGACGTCATTGACACTAAACAATACGTGTGTTCCTGGGTCAAACACTATTTATACCGCGGCCGCTTCATTAATTGGCGGGGTTTTCCCTCCCACGTGGCTTGCAAATACTTACTTAAGCTGAACATGACTGACCAATGCATTGTGAAACCGCTTTTCACCAGACTCACCAAAGTACACATAACCGAAAAGAATAATCAGAAATATTGGCTCAAGCGGAAATCGCACGTAAAGGCTAAATGCAGATGATTTAAGGATCAATATTTTCTACAGAAGCCGCGGATAAAAAGCGAGAGAAGTTTGTTTTTCACAGTGTTTGACTAAATCTCCCAGCACGCGGGAGGCCGAGGGGATCAGTATATCTGTGTTCCAATATGTAGACTAAACAGGTGTGCCACGCTGAAAGGGTGCAGATTTTGAATGTTGGGTACTGAGAAAATGCTGTTCAAGATTTATCTATTACTGGTATTATAATGCTTCCGGCTGAGGTGTGATATAGGGAGCAGATTACTGAGGTCTGATCTGAAGTAGGACGTGGAAAAAGATCTATTTTTGCAAAAGAATCCGACTAGTTATGATGAAACACGAGCACACTCCATCCCACCTCCTCCCCACCGGAAAATGAAGAACTAATCAGGAGGTTGTCTTGCTTAGCCAGTTGGCCTTTATTCTCTGACACTTACTGTCTGTCTGTCATAACACAGAAAATCTTCTTTCTGGGGACTTTGTGGTTTGATAAATAACATCAAAATTTGTTTGGCAATCGCTGCTTGGTAAACCCTTGTCGTAGTATACAGTTAGACTATCTACATTTATTTTTCCTCCCTTCCAGTGTTAATAATACTAACTAATAAACTAACTAATATTCCAATGTTAACTAATGTTAAGTGTTAACTAATACTCCAATAGATAAGATACAGGTTGCGTTTTTCAACCGTCACAGTAACCCGTGAATGATATCCAATGCATACATGCATGCCGAAATACATAATCTCCTTTCGTGCCTAATTGACATATGAAGCCGTCACCAATACGGTCCAATGTTGCCTCCAGCTGCCTATCTCTGAATCTGGCTCTAGGTCCAGCCAGCCTCTCTCATTTCTTTTGCTACTGATCTTCTCCACGTCAGTTTCGGCCGTCCTAGTGATACCCAATAGTGTCTGATAAACATGTCGTTTCTCTTTACAATGCCAGTACACTATCAAGTAGACAGGTACTGAGAATAAAGAATATAGTTAATTACGTAAAGGGGATTATAGTTTTGCAGCTTAGCCGTACAACCTTTCTCCTATCGTGTGTAACTTATGTGTTGCCATCAGGATGATTTTGAGATTGACACAAAGGATGGAGATGTTACATGTGCGATTTTTGCCATTTGTAATTGTCCTAATGTAAACCTCTTAACTTTGTGATATGACTATTTCCAATAACAGATAAGGTGCAGGTTGTCTATTTAACAATTAGACTATCCGATATAGATTTCTATCGCGTGATAGTTGAAGAGGGTGCAGCTGACCCGAGTCAACTATCACGCATAGAAATCGAGAGTGAATAATCTTATTGTTTTAGCAATTAGATCTACTAGTCGTTCAAAATTTCAAAATCCTCTTCCCATGCGGACACTTCGAAAACATAAAGAAGCGGCCGCCATTTTATTAACAACCGCACACACTGGTAGTAATGATAATAGATTTAGTCTTATATAGCGCTACTTCTTCAGAATTACAAAACTATATATGAATCAACTAGATATACATGTAAACTAAAGGGTCTAAAGGGACTAAGTATAATCGTAAGTACAGTTTATAGATACGTTTAAAAAGATGCGCCTTGACTTTTGACTTAAATGAAGTGAGCGAGCTGCGTGTCCTTAATTTGATCAGGCAGGGCATTCCACAGTCTAGGTGCAATATACGAAAATGCGCTCATGGTATCCATATGATTTAAGATAGAATTTGGGCTGGACGAGAAGTCCCTTATTTGCAGATCACAATGTCCTAGATGGATAGTAAGGTGTCACTCATTATCTACAACAGAACAGATAATGAGTAGCGTAGCCAATCAGAGAGCAGCATTCGTGATAAAACCCCAGCGAGTAGCGTATAGCCAATAAGAGAACGGCATTCGTGATAGAACCCAAGTAGATTTATTCTAATGCCTTTTAGATAAAATGAATCTCGCTCCAGATTTTTTCTTTTCTTTGAAACACCTTTTTTTAGCTTCACACTCCATATAGTTAGCATAAAACGGTAGACGTAAACGAACGAATCCGTCCGATTGGGAATTCAGAGCGGAAAATAAGAGAATAACGTGGAAAATAATTCAATTTTTCCGTTGTATAACAAACATAAGTATTCCAGTGTCTCATTGGGACTGTAGAAATGCATCATACTTCTTTAATTCAGTGCCAGTAAAGTGTTACATAAGGACAACAGCTATACTTAGAGAAGATTTCCTATTGTAATCTTGATAATGCAGGAACAAGGTGTTGATCTCTCGATTGCAAATTAAAATTTCTGTAGGTTAATAAACAACAAGTTAAGAATGTGCTGTGACAACAAGAATTTCTCCTCTTAAGTTTCAACTTCCTCTTCGTCCCGAGCTCAATAGAGTCTCAATACATGCCACTGCTGATAAATTTGAAACAATTCGCCCAACAAATCATTGTTTGAAAGGATTTTGCTCCTTTCCGCGATGTCTAACAAAACAACGTTGAGTTTTTCTTGCATCCTTGGTACATCACTATCCGTGCTGTGTCTCATTGTGTTGTCGGCTTGGATAATACGAAATGAAACGAGGCACTCGGCGCTCGAATATCGCGTCATGTCTGTAGAAACAGCTTTGGGTGATCTAAGGAAGAAGCTAACTCATGTATCCGTGACAGAAGAGTTAAAAAAGAGTGAAAAAGGTAAGCATAGCATTTCTTGACTATTTCGAATTCAGATCAAAAACTTGAACAAAGAACTGTGTAACTTTTCATCGCGATATATATACGTGACTTTTCATTCTTGTATTATCGACTGTGGTCTGGCATACTGCCTGCGTTTGATTTAACACGAGGAAGTTCTTTCAGACTTAGCTTTCACAGAAGAGGATATAAATATTTAGCATTCCAAGTGGGAATGAATATAAACAGACTAAACAATTTGAAATCAACTTTCGGCTTCACTAGCTCTTTCCTGATCACGGAATCTCAGGCAGTAACGAGCTGTCGGGAAATGCCTGAGACTCTTTGATTGGTGTTACACAAGATATGTTATAATTATGGTCTGCACTGTAATATGAAATGATCGAAGTTCGGCAAGTAAAGAAAAACGTTCAATATGAAGTTCGGGTAAAGAAATATTGTGACTCATAGTATATTTCTGATTTTGACGCAGCTGAAATCAAAATAAAGCTTACCAGAACTGAAAACTACACTTTTTCAATTACGATATAATGATAAATTCTTGTTTACAGATCAGTGTGGGTTTCGATGACCTCAAAAGTCACCTTTTGCGTCAACGGAAAAGCTTGTCTTCGCCAGCCAACGATCCTTCAAAATGAGGTCACCACACAAATCAGAAAAGTGTTTTCAACAATGATAAACACATTCTGTGCCCGAGATGAGAAACTCTGTTTGCAGGGGCCTAAGGGCGACAATGGAACTCCNGTACGGAGACTAGAGTAGCTTTCACAAAAGTGATAGCGAGTGAAAAGATTAACAACCACAATGCCAATCAATCTATCCATATTCGCTAGTAATACCCGGTAGTGATTGTAATTCGACTTCAACAGTAAAGAAATATGACGATCGAAACGCTTTCTGAACGGAAGTAATACTTCACCAAGCTCATCCGAGCGGCGTGTAATTCCACTTTGTTCTTCTCTTTTTTACGACCAAATCAAGGGACTGGCCATGTAAGTCAGTTAACTTCGAAAAGAGGCCCACAGTACAGGCCTTGACTTATAACAGGGTTGATTACACACAAAATCCCCCTGGAAATAATTTGAACAAAAAGTATGACAAGCATTCTAATCCAAAAAGTTGGCCTGTTTACTTGGGGTAACCATGCATTCTTTTCGCAAAAACAAAAATTGTGTCGGAAGAGCTTTTGCTGCAAGACTGTACTATTTATATTTTGTCACTGTCAAACTCAATTCTACTTTAAGAACTAACACCCGAAATCAACAGACAAAGTCTGACCTTGATTAATGCTTTTTTATTTGCCAATTTCCCTGCCGACCTTAATGCACAAACAACTGAGCCTAAAAGTCAATAAAGTTTCTCAATTTTGAACAAACACAAGCGTAATTATCCCAGTCATTTCTTAATCTTCTTGACGTCCTGGAGAACAAAAGATAAAAAGGTTGTTAAAATATTCTTTTCCAGTCGCCTTTCGAGACAATACGAACAAAAACGAATTCACTCAATGTGTTATTACTTTCACAAAACAGATAAAGCTAGATAACCAGACTCTTTTCACCCTGTTTCACCTTTGATGGCCGATCCATTTAAATAGTTCAGCTGATAAAAAAACCTTGGCACAAAAGCTGCTCAACGATGAATTACTTGAATACACAAGCTTTTCACTGCTTATTCTATGCGAAACTGAACCAAAAACAAAGGGTTTANTATTCTTTTCCAGTCGCCTTTCGAGACAATACGAACAAAAACGAATTCACTCAATATGTTATTACTTGCACAAAACAGATAAAGCTAGATAACCAGACTCTTTTCACCCTGTTTCACCTTTGATGGCCGAGCTATTTAAACAGTTCAGCTGATAAAAGAACCTTGGCACAAAAGCTGCTCAACGATGAATTACTTGAATACACAAGCTTTTCACTGTTTATTCTCTGCGAAACTGAACCAAAAACAAAGGGTTGATTGGTGGAACTATACCAATGACTTGTTTCATAAGAAAGATCTATCCGTAGTTTGTTTTCCTTTCGTCCGTCTTTAATTTCGGCGCCGAGCTTTGTGTAAACAAGCTTAAAAGTGACCTTCTCTAGTAAAGTTCAACGCTATTTATTGCAGTTGACATATCGCAAATATTTAGTGATTCCTTTACAGGCACGTGAGCCATTAAAGGTTGACCTTTCTGCTTGAAGCCAACTGCGCTCAAGCGTAGAATCAACCCAAGCAGGAGCTAAACGATTCCCCCGGCGGGTTTTCACAGCAGAGGTTGATTAAATGCACATTGAAAGTCTTTTAGTTCGTGTAAATCCTTTTTACTGTGCAAATAAGTCTCATTACCAAACCAGATGCTAATTTAACCACGCCAGGAATGTTTAGTGCGGCTTTTACAAGACAAAAGCATATCACAAGACTAAGCTATACAAATAAATCCGTGAGGCATGAGCAACGAAAAAAGAAGATTAAAAATTGACTTGTGGTCTGTTGGATACTTCATTAAAATCGTCTGATCCATCCTTTAAAATTCCAAGACGTATGTATTGGCCATGTGGGCTAAAGTTTATTTTTAGATCTACCAATACGATGAGAGATAGGGTTTTAAGTTGTGAACAATTAACACACAGCATTCTTTTGATTACAACATGGTGCAATCAATGTTCCACTTTCGGCCATCACAAACCATTTACAATCTTCTTGATTTCGGCTCCAGCTTTGATAAGGAATGATGCGCAGTCGAAATGCCCCCCACGCACCGCGAAATCCAGCGCGGAGCACCCTTGCGAGTCCAGTAGCTCCACTTCAGCCCCGCAATCGAGCAGAAGTTGAAGGCATTCGAAACTTCCTTCAGCGGCTGCGTAATGCAACGCTGTGAGTCCAGACGGACTCTGGTGGTTCACATCGATTTCCTCTTTATGCATGAGTCTCGTTAACTCTGCCACATCGTTGTCGGCCACCGCAGTGAAGAATACAACTTCAGGAGCGAACGAGACGCTTCTGGTTCTCTTGACACCTGCTGGGGGATCCGAGAACGCTTCCTTGCTGCGCGTTGGCCTTTTCGAGTGCATCCTTGCCATTTCTTGACAATCTGGTAGAGACACAGTTCTCCTCAAGACACCCAGGTCTTTTTCGCTTGGTGGCCAGTTTATTTTATGCGTAATACTGGCCTTGGAGTATTTCCTTGCCTTGACGCGGCCGTATCTTTCATCCTTCAGCCTCTCTACAGAAGGCGCAAAACCACAAAAAGATTGTCGACGATAGCCGTTCATCGCGGAAGAGCTCTGGAAGCCCTCGTGAGCAAACACGTCAATTAGTCTAGTTGACATCATTTGTCAACCGCAGTATTTTAGGCTGCATTAGTGGTGCGTGACGTCATTGACACTAAACAATACGTGTGTTCCTGGGTCAAACACTATTTATACCGCGGCCGCTTCATTAATTGGCGGGGTTTTCCCTCCCACGTGGCTTGCAAATACTTACTTAAGCTGAACATGACTGACCAATGCATTGTGAAACCGCTTTTCACCAGACTCACCAAAGTACACATAACCGAAAAGAATAATCAGAAATATTGGCTCAAGCGGAAATCGCACGTAAAGGCTAAATGCAGATGATTTAAGGATCAATATTTTCTACAGAAGCCGCGGATAAAAAGCGAGAGAAGTTTGTTTTTCACAGTGTTTGACTAAATCTCCCAGCACGCGGGAGGCCGAGGGGATCAGTATATCTGTGTTCCAATATGTAGACTAAACAGGTGTGCCACGCTGAAAGGGTGCAGATTTTGAATGTTGGGTACTGAGAAAATGCTGTTCAAGATTTATCTATTACTGGTATTATAATGCTTCCGGCTGAGGTGTGATATAGGGAGCAGATTACTGAGGTCTGATCTGAAGTAGGACGTGGAAAAAGATCTATTTTTGCAAAAGAATCCGACTAGTTATGATGAAACACGAGCACACTCCATCCCACCTCCTCCCCACCGGAAAATGAAGAACTAATCAGGAGGTTGTCTTGCTTAGCCAGTTGGCCTTTATTCTCTGACACTTACTGTCTGTCTGTCATAACACAGAAAATCTTCTTTCTGGGGACTTTGTGGTTTGATAAATAACATCAAAATTTGTTTGGCAATCGCTGCTTGGTAAACCCTTGTCGTAGTATACAGTTAGACTATCTACATTTATTTTTCCTCCCTTCCAGTGTTAATAATACTAACTAATAAACTAACTAATATTCCAATGTTAACTAATGTTAAGTGTTAACTAATACTCCAATAGATAAGATACAGGTTGCGTTTTTCAACCGTCACAGTAACCCGTGAATGATATCCAATGCATACATGCATGCCGAAATACATAATCTCCTTTCGTGCCTAATTGACATATGAAGCCGTCACCAATACGGTCCAATGTTGCCTCCAGCTGCCTATCTCTGAATCTGGCTCTAGGTCCAGCCAGCCTCTCTCATTTCTTTTGCTACTGATCTTCTCCACGTCAGTTTCGGCCGTCCTAGTGATACCCAATAGTGTCTGATAAACATGTCGTTTCTCTTTACAATGCCAGTACACTATCAAGTAGACAGGTACTGAGAATAAAGAATATAGTTAATTACGTAAAGGGGATTATAGTTTTGCAGCTTAGCCGTACAACCTTTCTCCTATCGTGTGTAACTTATGTGTTGCCATCAGGATGATTTTGAGATTGACACAAAGGATGGAGATGTTACATGTGCGATTTTTGCCATTTGTAATTGTCCTAATGTAAACCTCTTAACTTTGTGATATGACTATTTCCAATAACAGATAAGGTGCAGGTTGTCTATTTAACAATTAGACTATCCGATATAGATTTCTATCGCGTGATAGTTGAAGAGGGTGCAGCTGACCCGAGTCAACTATCACGCATAGAAATCGAGAGTGAATAATCTTATTGTTTTAGCAATTAGATCTACTAGTCGTTCAAAATTTCAAAATCCTCTTCCCATGCGGACACTTCGAAAACATAAAGAAGCGGCCGCCATTTTATTAACAACCGCACACACTGGTAGTAATGATAATAGATTTAGTCTTATATAGCGCTACTTCTTCAGAATTACAAAACTATATATGAATCAACTAGATATACATGTAAACTAAAGGGTCTAAAGGGACTAAGTATAATCGTAAGTACAGTTTATAGATACGTTTAAAAAGATGCGCCTTGACTTTTGACTTAAATGAAGTGAGCGAGCTGCGTGTCCTTAATTTGATCAGGCAGGGCATTCCACAGTCTAGGTGCAATATACGAAAATGCGCTCATGGTATCCATATGATTTAAGATAGAATTTGGGCTGGACGAGAAGTCCCTTATTTGCAGATCACAATGTCCTAGATGGATAGTAAGGTGTCACTCATTATCTACAACAGAACAGATAATGAGTAGCGTAGCCAATCAGAGAGCAGCATTCGTGATAAAACCCCAGCGAGTAGCGTATAGCCAATAAGAGAACGGCATTCGTGATAGAACCCAAGTAGATTTATTCTAATGCCTTTTAGATAAAATGAATCTCGCTCCAGATTTTTTCTTTTCTTTGAAACACCTTTTTTTAGCTTCACACTCCATATAGTTAGCATAAAACGGTAGACGTAAACGAACGAATCCGTCCGATTGGGAATTCAGAGCGGAAAATAAGAGAATAACGTGGAAAATAATTCAATTTTTCCGTTGTATAACAAACATAAGTATTCCAGTGTCTCATTGGGACTGTAGAAATGCATCATACTTCTTTAATTCAGTGCCAGTAAAGTGTTACATAAGGACAACAGCTATACTTAGAGAAGATTTCCTATTGTAATCTTGATAATGCAGGAACAAGGTGTTGATCTCTCGATTGCAAATTAAAATTTCTGTAGGTTAATAAACAACAAGTTAAGAATGTGCTGTGACAACAAGAATTTCTCCTCTTAAGTTTCAACTTCCTCTTCGTCCCGAGCTCAATAGAGTCTCAATACATGCCACTGCTGATAAATTTGAAACAATTCGCCCAACAAATCATTGTTTGAAAGGATTTTGCTCCTTTCCGCGATGTCTAACAAAACAACGTTGAGTTTTTCTTGCATCCTTGGTACATCACTATCCGTGCTGTGTCTCATTGTGTTGTCGGCTTGGATAATACGAAATGAAACGAGGCACTCGGCGCTCGAATATCGCGTCATGTCTGTAGAAACAGCTTTGGGTGATCTAAGGAAGAAGCTAACTCATGTATCCGTGACAGAAGAGTTAAAAAAGAGTGAAAAAGGTAAGCATAGCATTTCTTGACTATTTCGAATTCAGATCAAAAACTTGAACAAAGAACTGTGTAACTTTTCATCGCGATATATATACGTGACTTTTCATTCTTGTATTATCGACTGTGGTCTGGCATACTGCCTGCGTTTGATTTAACACGAGGAAGTTCTTTCAGACTTAGCTTTCACAGAAGAGGATATAAATATTTAGCATTCCAAGTGGGAATGAATATAAACAGACTAAACAATTTGAAATCAACTTTCGGCTTCACTAGCTCTTTCCTGATCACGGAATCTCAGGCAGTAACGAGCTGTCGGGAAATGCCTGAGACTCTTTGATTGGTGTTACACAAGATATGTTATAATTATGGTCTGCACTGTAATATGAAATGATCGAAGTTCGGCAAGTAAAGAAAAACGTTCAATATGAAGTTCGGGTAAAGAAATATTGTGACTCATAGTATATTTCTGATTTTGACGCAGCTGAAATCAAAATAAAGCTTACCAGAACTGAAAACTACACTTTTTCAATTACGATATAATGATAAATTCTTGTTTACAGATCAGTGTGGGTTTCGATGACCTCAAAAGTCACCTTTTGCGTCAACGGAAAAGCTTGTCTTCGCCAGCCAACGATCCTTCAAAATGAGGTCACCACACAAATCAGAAAAGTGTTTTCAACAATGATAAACACATTCTGTGCCCGAGATGAGAAACTCTGTTTGCAGGGGCCTAAGGGCGACAATGGAACTCCCGGGCTGCCGGGACCCATGGGAGGGCCAGGGGCGAAAGGGGACAAGGGAAGGCAAGGTTACCATGGCAAACCAGGACGAATAGGTCCCAGGGGAGAAAGGGGCGATGCGGGAAGACATGGAACAAAAGGAGAAAAAGGTAAGTCAAGAGAGAAATCATATCTATAGTGACTTCAAATCCTTCTTAATCGACAACCAGCGCGGGACCATAATGTTACCTCACCCTAACAAACAGAGATTTTAAAATATTAATGACAACTAATTTTCAATGCCAATTTAGATCCTATAGCAATAAGAGAAAAATTGAAGATATTAGGAATGCGGAGTCTTTGTAACTTTTACCTATTATATTAGAGAAGGGTCCAACTAGATGGGACCTTCAATTCCCAGTAGAAGGTTATATATCACCGGGCACAACCCTCTCTGATCTTCCGTTGAGAAAATCTATAATCCCGTTTATGATATTTTATCCTAACCATTCTGTAGAAACGGTTGATTAATTTCATTTCATTTTTCCCAGGTGACCCTGGTCAGTCAGTTTTTGCTCCCAAAATGACAACTTCACCAATCTCGTTAACCGTTCGTGAACACACGTCAGCTTCGTTTCAATGCAAGGCCGAGGGGCTTCCCACACCTGTAATAGAATGGACGCGTGCTGGAGACTTACTGACGAGCGACCGCCACGTGATTCAATCCGATGACACATTGCTGCTAACGAATGTGACGTATGCTGATCACGGGACTTACACATGCTCAGCTGTCAACGTTCTTGGCAACGACAGTGCCACAGCCTATCTAACAGTACAAGGTGAATGTTTACTACTCAAAAATAATATTTCCACGGCATTTTCGAGTTGTACTAAATTTCCAAAAGTACTAAGTGCTATGTAATGTTTGTGCCAAACTTTACGGTGCATCATCTAGGGGTATTTCAACATTTGAAAGGGTGAACAGATGGTCAGCACCTTTCAGTATGCAGTGATTCAACGGCAGTGTCTAGTTGGGGCACTTCGTAGATAATCTGCCTAATTTCATTGTAAGACCACCCAAGTTCCAATGAAGTGGCCTGTTCCTATTTGCACGCAGGAAAGAACGGCTCTCCAGTTTTTAACTAAATGGTGACATGCTCCAGCTCAAAAGCTAGCCAGAAACACATTTTAATGTGTTTCAAATGTTTAACACTTTGAATACCAAACTTTCGCCAAAAAATACCGTTTTTAACCGTTTAGTCAGGTTTTTTGGTTGCCATGACGCTAAATAAGCTTAAGTTTTGCTTTTTTTTTAACCAAAAGGAGAGCTTTTTCGAGGATTACGTACAAAATTGAGCAATATTTCAATTCTAGGCACGCGCATAAGCCAAAATTGGAGGTTTTTTTTTTTACCATCAACCGTTCTCAATTTTGTTTGTCGCCCCTTTCCTTTTTTTTTTCCTCGGCCCTTTTACTCTGGCTACCTTTTGCGTTGCATGTTCTTTCTGGCTGCCGTGAAAAGTTGGATGTTAATTATGGGCGAAGCCTAGAAATGGACCTTGATCAATCACAGGCGTAGTGGACCATTTTACCACCGTTTTTGCACCAAAACGGATAACGTTGTTTTTCGATTTGCGACGTCGGCAATGTCGTCGATATCTAAACCTGACCATTGTAGGGAAAGGCCTAGCCTAGCACTACCATCTGCTTATCAATAATATCTGGTGACATTTAAATCGATGACGTCACAAGTGGTACAAAGAGCACGACCATTAAGTGGCCGTATATGGCCACTTGGGCGTCAAAGGGCTATTATAAAAACATTTGGTGAAACAAACTTCGCCATTGCTCTCTGTTCACCTAACTCTACCACGGTCTTTTGCAGTTTCAGTCGAAATAACTCAAGGGCCACAATCGCAGGTGGTAGAAGAAAGCGGTAATCTACTATTAACATGTACAGCGACGGGTCATCCTCGACCGAGTATCAGCTGGGAAAGACTTGGATCCAGTTTGGATACCAAGAGGTTCATTGTTGACGGCAACAACTTCATGATAAATTCCTCAAAATCTCGGACACCGGAACGTACTCGTGTAGGGCTGAGAATGTAATTAATTTCGATACTGCTTCGGCCAGTGTCACTGTAATTCCCAAGCTTCGTTTCACTGCAAGCCCGCCAGGAAATGTCACGGTATTGACGGGAAATACACTTATTCTTCCTTGTCAGGCCGACAGTACAAATGTTCCTGTGGTGGTCACCTGGTCACGAGCAAAAGATCAGCAACTGACGGCAAGGCACCGGACGCTGGCAAACGGCTCGCTCGTTATCGAGAAAGCATATCATGTCGATCAAGGTATTTATACCTGTTATGCACGAAATTTGGTAGCTGTGCGGACAATCAATGTTACCGTCCGAGTTATATTACTGGGGTCATGCAGTGACATAAGGCAAGCGGGCTTTTCAGTTAGCAAAACTTATTACATCAGCCCGGGTGGGTTGGCACCATTCGCTGTTTACTGCGACATGCGTGACAAAAATGGAGTCGGCGTGACAGCTATCAGTCACGACAGTGAGGAGCGAGCTTTGGTTAGTGGGACCGAAAGTCCAGGTAGTTTTCAACGAAAAATAAAGTACAATGGCTATGGCAAACAACAGCTCGTCAGCCTTATCGACGTGTCTACAAACTGTGAACAATTTATAAAGTAAGAGTGTTATGGATCAGTGTTGTTAGACAGCAATAAAAACGATTATGGCTGGTGGGTGTCACGTGACGGCGCCAAGATGAATTACTGGGGAGGGGCACCCCGGGAAGTCAAAAGTGTGCATGTGGAGTCAGCAAGTCTTGTTCGTCATCAAGATATCCTTGTAACTGTGATGCGAATGAAAATGTGTGGAGAGAAGACAGCGGGATTCTGACAGATAAGTCAACTCTTCCCGTAACCGAACTCAGGTTTGGAGATACTGGGGGCAGCGGAGAAAAAGGATATTATACACTTGGTAAACTAAAATGTTACAACGCATAGTTTATCCAAAACGCGTTGTTCACCAAAGTGAAGATTCTTGAATGAATTGAATATTTACCAGGTCCTACATTGGTTTTCGGCCTTATGCGCCTACTGGCGCGTAGGGACTTGATGATAATGACAACGATAATCGCTTTTTGTGATATGGCATATTTAGATACAAAATTAGCGGGATACAGGATCATTGGGGAAAAAAATTAATGGGATATTTAGATCAGATAATACGGGATATCGAGTAGGAAAATCTTTAATTCTTGCAACTGGAATAAACGGGGTACGGGATGTTAAGGCCAAAAATTAACAAAATGTGTGATACTAGCGCGGGCTCCTTTCCTGAACAGCAGAGGCCTGTTCCATTTTAAGTGATACCTTTTAGGGGTCAAATAAAGCTTGAACCACACCCACATTGGTCTGCTTTAGGGGTTTAATTCAAATTTTTCAACGAGTATCCCAGACTTTTTTATATGCAAGACCCCCAGGGATTGGCAGCTATTCCTAGACACTCCTGGAATTTCCGAAACCGTGACGGATCTCAAAATAACTTGAGCTGGATTTCCCTAGGAATAACGCTTATAAGGTCTCTCTTGGTAATAAGTACAAAAAACTAATTAAATTAATTGAATAGACATATGAGAGATTCCAGCTTGAAAAGTCTCTTGTGATCAATTGAATCCTAATTCAATCATTGGTGTAAAGGTTACATAAACTGGAATTTTACTGAATTAACGATCAAAAGTTATGTATTCAGTAACCTCATTTCGATATGTTGCTTGATAGCAAGTTATGTACTACAAGGCTCGCGGAAATTAATGTAATTTCTATTTTATTTCAAGTTCTGTTTATAAATCTAGCTTTCTGTAATTATCAGGTCAAAATGGGATTATGTAAGCATGTCAAGCAATTTGTTAAAATGCATGTCTTACTGAGATCGTTTGGTCGATATTGTAGAAAATTCAAATTGATCAGATAACCTCGATTGAATTGACAAAAAGCTGTCATTGTTCATTCAACCTAAGCCCGGGTTACCCCTCGAGGGGGTCCGCATGTAAAAAGGACGGGGGGGGGGTGCTCTTCGTACCATTTAGGGGATACAGAAGTAGTCTTGGTACCTCTTAGGTTGTTCAGCCTCAAGAGGTCCATAGCGGGAGCTTTCGCAGTACCAACTGGATTTTAATTTTGTCTCAGAATTGGTACCTCTTAGAAGGGAAAAAAAAAAAGAAAAAAAAAGCCGCGCCCACAAAGCAGGATCAGGATTTCTCTTCAAAATTTTGGTCGAGCACCCACGTCGGTTTCCCCCGAGATTATCGCGCTGAAAATTTGAAACCTCTGCAGCTATAAATGTATAAAAATGAAATGCCCACTAGCGAGAAATTTGTTAGATTAAGATACGCCAGCTTTTATATGCAAAGTTGCGTACTAAAAAAGCGATGTAGTAGCCGCATAGAATACCTTATAAATAAATGCTAAGCAATTAATTTTCTTTTATGTGCATTCATTACTCCGATCCCTTCGTGCAATTTATCATTTCATGGGAAAGTCTTCGTAAACTAAGTGCTAATTTATGCCTGTCACTGCATTCTCTTAAACGGCCATGACAAAGTTAAAGCCCCGTCCACACCACGAAGGAGGAATTGAAAAGGGAGAATTCACACTGATTCACCTGATCATCGTGACACCGTCGTTTTCAAAATGTTTTCCGTCCACACGAAAACGAAAAGCCGGCGTCTTCAAATTCCTCCGGTTTGAAGAGCGTTTTCGAAAAGCTCCGTTTTCATGACGGATTAGTGTGAACGGTGGGCCTGACTGAATAAAATAAAGCTGCGTTTTCAAATTTCTCCTGCGTAGTGTGGACGCTGCCTAAGATCATTTTCCTCTGAATCAGCTCAAGTGTTTTACGTCGAGCTGTACGCCTCGTGTCATTCATTATAGCGAACTAAAACAAGCCCTTTTCCTTCTTAAGCTGCACTTGTTTCCATCTTGGTAGAGACTCGAACTCAGTCCTCTCCATGTCGAATACCAAGAAAAACTCCTCATTTGACAAGTAACGCTATAAGAAAGAGGAAAAAAACGCAACATCGCCTTATTCGCGGTTCGGTCATTCTTATCGGCTGGAGAATTTGTACGAGTTTATTTCACAACCAACTCAGTACAGAGGTTCAATAACCAAATAAACATATTGATATATTGTCGGTCCAATTGTTTTCCAAGTATTCTGTCAAGCACTGTCGAGTTGATCCCGCAGAGCCAATGTAAATGTTTCTTGTAGTTTCATGGGCTTACTCTTCTAAAATAATTTACCTACACAAGGTACTTTTTCTCTAACTTCCAACTCAGTTTTCCGTTTTGTTTTGTTTTGTTTTTTTTTTTTCTCAAAAAACTTTTATTAAATGCCTTCCATGAGTAAACGGAACCGCGCTTGAAGTTTATGGAGTCTTTCCAGTCACGCAGTTGTGGAATTTTTTCTAAACAATTTCAATTCAGCAAGCTTGCTAGGGGCTGCACCGGAAGAAAGTTGGCCGTTGATCTTTTTTGTACGGACCTCGATGTACTCGGTCCATATTACCCGATATTTCCCCAGTACGACCCTCGCGCGTGATTAATATACCCTATGCAAATATGGCGGACCACTCGGTCGTCGCTCGGGACGAGTTGCGTACGTGAAAGCGAGGCCAGTAGGGCCTTGGTGTTATGTTTTGACAATGCTTCCCCAAAACAATCTTTCTTCTTCGACAATCTGCTTTGTTTTATTTCGCCATGCCTACGAGTTTTTGTGTTGCTGAATGCTACCAGAAGGGAGTGAAATCTTCCACAGGAGAGAAAGTTTTTTTTAGTTTCCCTGTTCGCCTCTGAGGGGAAAACAGACGAAGGAAAGGAGTTCACGATCGCTGAGGGAACTGTAAAAGTTTGTTTCCTACATTTCAAGCTAGAAGATCTTAGAATATGTGTCACCGATCGCATTTAGCTCCAAGTCGTTGTCATTTGGCTCAATGTTTCAATGACGGGAGCAGTTGAAGTTCATTCCCTTGGTGATTCCACCGTAATATTTGTTTCGTGCAATTCGGTCTGAGTAAAGTGGTGGCGGACGTAGACAACTAATTGTCTTCTTCTTTTGAGACAGAGAATGTATTTCAAGAGGAGCTTTTCTTTACCGTGGGGAAAGTGCTGGCCAAGCAAATCGTGTTGGAACACCACCAGACACCGCATAAGCTCGTCATTTAAACGATTTTCTAAGATCTTCCAACCTGAAAATGTAGTGAACAAACTTCACTTTCCACGGCGATCGTGAACTCACTTCCTTCGTCACAACGAATTGCATGGATCCACTATTTTCCCTTAGACTGAAGCGAACGTTGGACAATTTCTGTCCCTTCTGGTGACATTCAGGAACACAAAAACTCGAAGGCATAGCGAAATAAAACAGACCAGATCGTCGACGAGGCAAGACTTTTCTGGGGAAGCATTGTCAGAACTAGTCTCGCTTTTATGCAACTCGTCCCGAACGACGAGCGAGTGTTCCGCCATATTTGCATAGGGTGTATAAGACATGATGTAATACCTCTCTGTTTGTCTTATCGATTCCTCCAGGGAGAAGATGAGATGGCTGCGCCAAGACTTCATACGAGTAGCTAGAACCATCTGTTTCAGTGAAGTCGCCACTGTTATTGTTATTCATTGCTTTCACAGTCTACAACAAAGTAATGAAGATCAGAAAACATTAATCACTTAATAACTGGCCCTCAGTTTTTTCCCCAGAACATTGAGGTCGAGGAGAAATAAAACTCAGTTTCCCTTGGGGTCAGTCATTAAGTGTTTTGTGATATTTCCCAACTCAAAAATAGAAAAAAATCTGCAAAAAAATTTTGACGTAAGCCAGCACAAAAAAAATTGGCCGCGGTTTCAAGGTGAACGACTTGATCACGCGCCAGTCGAAAGTTCAAGTTGTTGTTTCTCTAGGGAGTTATTGAGTTTTGTTCGTTCAAGGAAGTTAGTGACCTTTGACCCACGACACGTGAAACGTTCTCCTCCATTCGGAAAATCGTATTTGAGTTGCGAGGTATAACCATTTTTATCCCCACGATGTTAATGTTGTACAGATGAAGTCCATCAAATAGAGCGGTTTTGATGTACATCCAAATTCTCGAAACCGATACTAAAAGAGGTATACGGTACTCACTGTACGAAATTGATATATTGAGTTTAGAGATTAAAAGCGTTCGGAACTGAGAGCTAATTGAACAATTTAGAAAACGAAACAAAGAAAAGAAACGGTTGTTATTTTTGCACTGCGAGCCTACCTGTGTAGTTATTCGTATCTCGGACACTTTTTTGATGCCTTCCTCTCCCATTTCTTGTTTTATCTCTTCATATGTCTTTCCTTCCTGAAAGTGGAGATGAGAAGTAAAGGACTCAATACCGTGAGGTCTCACTGAGTTAGACCCTAATATCTACATTGGGAACGACTGGGTTAAGTGACAAATCGCCGATTCTTTCACTGACAATAATGAAAAATTCAAACAAACAAAAAAAGTTACAAATAGTGTCGACATTTTAAGCCATTTCCAGTTGTATCTCGTAATTGTTGGATTCTATTAGACCATTATCGTATTCTCGGTATTGGACTGGAACTAGCTTGAAATGGAGGCTCATGCGGGGAATATCATGAAAAAGAGGTCAAAGTCATTTGCATTTGAAAAGACTCCCGGCATTAGCCTCAGTTGCAAGCTAGTTCCAGTCCAATACGGTCTAATAGACTGTTTTGGTATTTTCGAAACCTTGCTAATCGCATTCACCAGAGCCCTCTGACCTCTGCATTTTTCGTGAAGTGATGTTTACCAAATGCCGTCATTCAGCGATACCGTGACGTTCCTGTCAGACTAGATTCATTCCGAGGGGGGTACTCTGTAAATCATTGGGTAGAGGTGTGCTGCTGGGACACTGAAACCCTCAACCTACCCATGATCATCTTGATTTTGCAACCCTTTTGTAGACTAGGCACCGAAAACCCCTTCCCTATCCCAGACTAAATTATCTATACACCGACCACTTTTCCGCTAAATCATACCCTACACTAGACCAAAAACTGTCTGATTTCTATACCCTATCCCTGACTAAACTTCTTGAAAACCATTCCAGCTCGCTCGCTTCCTTCACAACCAATTTTGGCCAGTCGATCTAAACCTAGTCTATCTTAACTCATTATGGAGCAACTAGGCCAAAGAACAGTAATTATATAAAATAAGCATACTTACGCTCCATTTGTCTCGGTCCCAGGCCTGGAAGTGTCCAGTGAAATTCAGAGGCTCGTATCCCTGTTTAACCTGTATTATCATCGTATCATCCAAGGTTCGACCAGAAGGGTCAGATCGTACATAGTCCTTCAGAAAGAGGAAAAAAAAACAGAGGACGCTCGTAAAACCATTGCATTAGCTGTTATCGCACTTGCCAAATGTTACAAAGGATTTTAACGGACTGACGCAGTCGAGACATGATAAAGGGAACACTTAAGAGAAATATCACCTCTATTGCCTCAATTTCACGGTCGATCGTGAAATTTCAAAGACATTTCGCACAAAACGCATCAACTGACTTTCAACTGTTTCATGAAAAAATGCAATCAATTGGGCAAAGGTACACGTTATAATTTGAACATGCGCCTAAGCGTGAAACCAGCGTCAGCGCCAACCAGCGCCAGAGGCGTAGCTTCGAACCTTTGACCAATCAGGGTGAGCAGAGCATTTTCAGTTGCTTTGTGAAATATATCATTAAAAACTTAATCATTGTATGATGCAATTCAAGAGTTTTCAATGGCTTAGCCATCATGGTATGTGAACGAGCAATTATGCCATGCATTACAATTACGGTAAGCGTGGGCGTAAGTTTTTTGGGCGTTTTTATTTTTATTTCATTTTAGTTTTCTTACATATTTTGCGGGCGTTTTCAATGAGACAATTACTCTACTCGCACTTGTTGGATATGAGAAGATATAGCCAACGCCTCGTTGGTTATTTATCATCTCATATCCAACGCGCGCTCGTGGAATAATTTTGAATTTTACCATGGCCACGGTAACAGCTTCAGCTTTCTCCACTTCGTTTGCTCCATCTCCAATCCAGACGAACACCTGAGGAGAAAAAAAGGATCGAATCAGTAATAGACAAAACTTATTTCATTTTTCAGAAAACAATTCACTTCATTTATTGCAATATCTGGCAGAAATCTCATGCGTCTATTCGTCGCGAGAGCTATGATCCACTGATAAACGAACAAACTAGAAAAATGTCAACTTTTACACAGAACTTTATTTCTCTTTATAATACATATAGGACCCTGCACGCGCTCTGATTGGTCAAAAACCATGTTTTATCAGAGTATAAAACAGAAAAAGCGTGTTTTATTGTTTTTTGCCACATTACCTCTACATCATAAAGCAAATGAAGAAGCCTAAGCCATGTATTACACTACGATAAAACACTCCGGATATTTGAGAACACTCGAGAAATGTAGAAAACACTCGCCTACGGCTCGTTTTTTCTACATTTCGCTCGTGTTCTCAAATGCCCGAATTGTTTTATCACAGTGTAATAGACGGCTTAGGCTTCTTTATTTGTTAAATAATCTCATTTTCCACTCAAAATTCCACACTCAACGTTCAGACGAAAGTCAATTTCCACAGTGAAAACTGAGCTTAAACGCTTTTAAATAACGAACATGACTTCGGTATCTTCTTAGATCAAGACTTGATCTACCCCTTTTTATCTGACCAGCTGACACACATCTTTTACAGTAACTGCAGAAGTTTTCGTGCGCTCATTGGCTAATTTTCATTGTTAGTAAGTGGACAGACACATGAATTTATAACTTCTACCTTTTTGTTACTGTAAAAAAAAAAGACAAATTGAGGTCAATTTTTTATATGTCTGTCCTGTTACTGATCATGAATTTCGTCATACAACTATCAAAGTAGTCTGCGGATCCACTCGACTATCGCATCGTGGTCTGATCAACAGCTACTTTGACAATGTTATGACGAAATTCATGATCAATAACAGGACAGACGCATGAAAAACTGATGTTAATTTGTTGAACTCCATACTAGAAATTTCAAACATGGTTGTTTGAAAACACGGCTTTTTTTATGAAGGATAGAGGAAAGCGCCTTTTTCTGTTACCTGTTTAGACACTTTTGCACTGAACATTCTTTACTACTGTACCTCATCATAGGTGTCCAGGAACATAACATCGTCCTCAATAAGGTCCTACAAGAAAATTATGCAACACTTATCATTACAGCCAAGTAAATAAACGTGATATGAAATCGAAGTGAAAAACAAATCGACATATTTACCTCTTGACAAAATTCAAATATCTCTTCCACTCTAAACGCGCCGGAAGCGTTGGAACATTGAAACAAACGAGGTGGGTAGCTGGGCTTTTCTTCCTGGGAAACGAATAAAAAGGTAAGCTCATTATTTTTATTAATGTCACTGAAAAAAAGCTTCCAAGTGAAAAAAAAGTGTACAACTTGCTGAAATAAATAATACTGATCAAACAAGAAAAAGTATTTTACGGCATATCGCGTGCACAAATGAACCACACGTCCGTATTTGGCAGGAAATCACTGTTGCATTCGAATCTACCTCTATCAGTTTGCTGTTACCTCCATACGTTTCCCTGTAGAGTATTCTTCGTATCCACCAATAGCTTCCCAAAATGTCTTCGGTTCCTTCCCTTCTCGAATTGGCTCCACCTCCCTAAAGAAGTTATAAATCGGGTGGTAATAGCTTTGTAATTAAGTTTGCGACTGACGGTTTCGGCCCGGTTCGCGATTCTAAGGACTAATATTAAGCCAATAAAGTACCAAGAGACTAAATCATAGTCTCTTAAAAGTATCAAACAAATATGCCGAATCATTTCTGAACAAGTTATAACAAGAGATGTCATGGGATAACATGAGATATCATATGGTCACATTTCTCGACCTAAAGCGGTACTATTGATAGCAACAGTTTAACCTGCAAAAACCCAATTTTTTAACGCATGTCCGCTTTGAAACGAGCAGATGACTAAAAGAGCAGCTTGGCGATTCTTTTTACTGCTGAAAAATCTTTGCAGGTTACGTGCAATGAGGAACGATCTGCAACGTTGAAAAACGTAGGAAATTAGGGGCGCCTTAAAATCTGGGGGAAAAAATGTGCTCTTGTACCTATGGCTATCCCGTAACCTGCCTTACCGATCAGCAGTCAGCGAACAGTACATCGACTTAATAAAAGTGCAAAACCGTAGTTTTTCAAAAGGCTAGCATTGTACCTTCCAACCATAAGGTAATCGATTAGCTGTCTGGCATTCCTCCTTTCAGCTGCGCATGCTCCCTATAGAAAAATGAAACGAACCACTCAATCAACCGAATGGGCTGCAAAAAGTACAGTGTTGCTCAATAAAGAAACCATGGAGACCATATCAAGTAGTTTTGCCAGCATTTTTATTTTTGTTTGTTTGCTTGTTTGTTTGTTGTTGTTGTTGTTGTTGTTGTTGTTGTTGTTGTTTTCACTGGGGAAATAAAAGATCAGTATCGTAAGAAATAAAAACCAGAGGCGATTGTCTAATTCCTTGTTTACAACTCGGGTTTAAGGTGGGTTCTTCCTCTCTGCTTCTTCCACCTTGCATTTTCTGTTGCTTAATCAGAACGCAGAATTTCCACGGACGTTATCATAAGTCCACTCCATTATAACAAGGAAACATTGTTACAGGGGTAAGCTAACTAGAGGAAAATTGAAAACACTTTCAAAGAACGACTTTATAGAGTAGTAACCTTTCCTCTCCACAAGTAGGCCACGTAAGGAGTCTCCAACACAAACATGTCTCCTGAATTCAGCGAGGCAGCTCTTCGAGGCACCTGAAATGTTTAGAAGCAAACACATGAAAGTAAAGGTGTAAAAGAGTTTCGTCGCTTTAATGTACGTAGTAACAATCACCGGCTTTGTACATCTTGGAAACTCTTCGTTTTAAGTTAAGATAGTTAGAACAATAAAAATTATATTAACAAAACCACTTGCTTGTTGGAATAAGAAATGGTCCTAATCCTAAAAATAAATTAATAAGTCAATTATTACTAATTTAAGAAACTGCTTAGTTTGTTCGTCAATGCTGAGCTGATAATGGTTAAGTGACGGTCGGTGTGTCGAGTGAAACAATGGACGCTCCCAGTGTTAGCCTTCGTGTAGCACGAGCTTCTAACTTGATAATGAACTTAATGTTAGTTCCGGTACGGTTGCGCAGTTGAAAACATTTAAAGCAGAACACCAATTCAACAGATGAACTGTCAGATTTTGCGTTGGAGTTAGTACAGACCTGCATTGCTTTAGCATTCATGTCCGACGAACCACGAACATGAAACATTCTCTTGCCTTCGTGGTCGTATGTATCCTCCTCTGAACCAGCACGGTATCCAGCTCCTCTGCCACCCTGTAAATTAAATTGATCGCTATTAAATATACTGATAATGTTAAACAACCCGTGAAGCACAGCAGGTAGACACGAGGATGCTCTTTTAATGTATCCTAACGGAAATGTTCTGAAGCTACTATGATGGGAAAGGCCGTAGCCAGCCAGTATAAGGCAAACCGAGGCACTTACCTCAGCTATTTTTTTTTTTTTTTTTTTTTGAGGGGTAAAATAAAACACTGTCAAATACCTTGGAATAGAATTTAACCATGGACATTGCATGCCTCAGTCATATTTTTTCTGGCTACGACCCTGATATGCTCTTTACACGTAACTTATTGCTTTTTGTGATAAAAGTAATAATGCAGACGTGCAATGTATTCAATTTATTCATGACTGAACCTTGAATGGTCGTCTTTTACATCACATGAACGACCATAGTGCTAAAACCTTGAGCGACTAGCTACAAGTTACTCTCTCACATTTTTCTTGTTGATCATTGATCTTTACCTTGATAAAACTTGGTGATATCTAAATGAATACTTACTTCAAGAATGATGAAACGCCCTCGAAACATTCTCAGGAAGTGTTCTGGTTCTTTGTTTTGTACAACTCGAATCTGCAACACAAAGTAAAGAGCTTTCATTATTTTGATCAGTTAGGAAAGTCAATTCTGATATGGCTAGCTCCGCGAAAAGGCAAGATGAACCAAATCTTGTGCTGTGATTGGCTACCGGAGTGGACTTCATGGTGATACTTTGCCCGCCCTTTCAAGTAAGAACATGGCTTTGTTGATGCCATATAATAAATCCTTTATTGACCAATGGTGTTCTCGGAACTTGGCTGGATTTAAGCCGGGTTTCATCCTTCCGTCTCGGTCCATAAACACAGAAAAACTCACGGCCAATATCCAGCCATCTTGACCTCACGCTCGGTCAATAACCCATACGTACTTCCTTACTTAACTCCTCCCCGGCTAACCTGTGTTGCTATTCCTCCTAGTTTTTTGTCCATTTGATCAGCTAACATTGCTGATGCTGCCTTTTCGTCAATACTGCTTTTTGTTCCCTAACAAAAATAAGGAAAAAACGGTAGTCAGCAAAAACGAGTTTCAATAAACTTGTGTCCGTATTATCTGGGAATCCAACTCTGGCTTCTTTGCTGCGCGTCGAAATGCGACCCGTGTCCTTTACAGGTAAATTACCTTGCCTAATTTATTTATTAAATTAAACAATTAAATTACTACCTGCCAAAAGTAGATTATTATTTGCCTCTTCCAATTAGCCATGAAGCTATACTTTATGACGTAAGAGTCGCCACTGAAGAACACTCCATGTAAGTTTGGCTCCAGAGGATATAGGTCATGGTCTTCAACGCGCCAGATCTGGGAACGAGCGAAGATTGGTCAGTTAAGTAAAAGCACGGTAGGTAGGTAGGTAGGTAGGTATGCAGAGAGAGGTAAGTAAACAAAAGAAAGTAAACAAATTCAATAAGAAAACATCAATAGAGTTAAATTACTAAAATCAGTATTCAAGGCAATGATAAATTTGAAAACAATAAATGTAATAATGTCAGCAAATGCGTGAAGATCCGCCACTGAGCTGAGAGACTGAACAAAAAGAGATTAATTTATAGTATAAAAACGTCAAATAAATTGATTTGTACCTCCACGTCTCCTGTTCCATCGTCTGGTAGGATTTCTGTTTTGTGTTTCTGTTTTTCTCGATCGTGCAGCTGAGTGGCATCAAACTTTTCATTACTTTGTTTAGCTTTGCGTAAGAAAATGAATCAACCAAAAAGTAAATTTAAATTATTTTAGAACAAATTACAAACTTGTATCAAACTTTTGGTTGAAATAGGTCCGTTTCAAATTTCTTGTAAAAGATCAATAAAATAACTTTGTTGCAAATTTTGGAGTGTTTATCTGGTGTGTATGCCTTTATTTCTGCCACAATATTCACATCAATCTTTTTTTTAAAATTTTTTTTTTTGACTTTTGCTTCTCCGAAAAGGGGGGTGGCTAGTCCATCAATCCCCTCCCCTCTCCCCTCCGCTCTAAATCTCTGTCCCTGATTACAAAGACAAAGCATCGAGACATTTTATCCAATATGGGATATAAAACTTCAAACTTCAAGTATTATTTAACTGTCAGGCTAAACATACCTAAGGCTCCTTGTCGGAACACTTTGCCCATTCCTACTTGCTCTCCCTCGTCCCTCCACCCTGAGAAGAATTGTTTGAAGATCGGTGTCTCCCCTCCCTCCACCACACGGGTGACTTGTGTCCACTGAGGGTAGCCTTTTTTGCTAATAAATTCCTTGGAAAAGAAAAAAAAAA